AATTGGTTTGTGTCCTACCTCTTTCTTTTTTCGCACCAGTCGCCCCAATTAGCTCATTTTGTGGCCCCCTGTGATGTAGCTATAAAGTTCGCATGACTGTTGAGGATACTACTGCCACAACAACTTTTGTGCTGCTTGGGAAATCGCAAGATGGTCTTATAGGCGCCTCAGCTCCTGAACTTTCTGCACGCTTTCCTCACCAGCGTGGCAATTTGCCACCTGAACTTCTGGCTCTTGAAGGGAGGCGGTTTGTCTTTGATGTTCAGCTTCCAAAACCAGTCTATTTCGGAAGGGCCTCGCCTGAATTTACGGTGCTTTCTGTCGCAGAACAAGATCAGCCTCGTGTGCCTCGCCCTTCGCATCGTCTGCCCCCGAGTGCATCTACTTCGACAACGCCGCCTCGGTATACCCAAACTGCTCTCGACTGTTACTTTTCATTTCTCATTACTCCTCCTTATATTGGTCCCGTATGCGTGTTGCAGGTCTTCCGGTACTGCTTCCGGTTCACGTATCTCGCTCAGGCATGCGCTGTCGTCTTCGTTTGCAGCCCCCCACCTGTTGCCCGTCTCGCCTTCTGTTTCTTCTGCAAGGTTTGGTTGCTTGTGTTTACATTGTTCTTACCTGTCTGTTCTTTTTCCCATTAGTTCTGCTTATTTACTTTGGGTTTACAACATGTCAGTCTTTTCCTCAATTTGCATCGCCCCCCCGTGCCCCAGTAATTGAGTTGATGTTTTGACGCTATTCATGTTGTTCCCTTATTAACTTGCGCAGTTGGTTTCGGATGCTCCTTTGTTTCCTTTCCTTTATGGATCGCAGGTTTTTGTTCATGTTAGTTTGTACTTATGTATCCCTTCTTTCTCAAATTTAGGAGTGTTGTTCTTACTCCTTCTCCTTCACATGCGCCATCTTCCAACATTTCCTATGCAAGGTATTTTTCCTTTTTATTGACCATCGGTGCTCGTGGTTTCTGCAGTCTCTTGCCTGCATGTTGTTTTCCCTTCAGGCCTTGCTTTGTTGTTTATTGGTCAATCATACCGTTTGCATTCTGAACTTTGTTTTCCCACCATCCTAACAGGCACTTTGAATGGCTTTACTTTTGTCACTTCTCTTATCTTTCGAAAATTAGTTCCCAATGGGGAAACTCAAATACCTTCTTTAATATGTTTGACGCGTTTGTGCTCTGCGATTGCTGTCTTGGTCCCTTGCTTAGGTATGGTTATTGCCGTTCGGTTCCAGCCCTGCCTCTGGTTGTCGGTCTCAGACTTCTTGTCCTTTTTATTCTTCATTTTATTAGCGGGCTGGATTCTACTCGTGCCATTTGTTTTTTTGGTTTTGTTTGACATGATGTCTTGCTTGATAAAGTTTCCTTTTGAATGGTCAACGACACTAAACCTGTCTGTGTGTATTCGAATATGGTGTAGTTTCCTTGCTGGTGGAATGTTCGTTTGCCATGAGGTTTTAAATGTTTTCGGCTTCTTTAATTGAGCCTATATGCTTATAACATGCTTTCTTTGTTCACCTCCCGTTGTTTAGGGCGAGAGATGCATTCGTCCCTTGTCCTCCTGTTTCGCAGTCCCCTGATCGGTACTTCTTTCTTTCTTTTTGGTGGTGCATTACCTCTTGCCTGTGTGCTTAAATCATGGACATTGTTTCGCAATGTCGCTTTATTTGTATGCTTTACAGGGCTGAGGGAGTCGTGCATAGTCCTGTGTGCTCACCTAATACTGATCGAAAGCGCTCAAGGAAAACTACTCCACGCAAAACGGAAGCTAAGCCAAGGTCCTTTTCTCAGGCCACACTTTTTTTTATTCTTCTCTTCCCTGCCTTTTTATCTACTGTCATGGACAAACATAGATTGCACAAAAGAAACACGTCGAAATGTTGTGTGCGCTTATTTGAATTAGCATGCTCGCTTTTTTGTGCCTTTTACTGATTTGGACTGGACATGTTTGCCCTCATATTCCAGTTGTAGGTGTTTGCCCTCTTTTGCCATTGAATTATTGTTCCTGCATGTCGTGTTTGCTTGTCTGCTTTACAGCCCTCATGGAGTAGTGCATCCTCCTATCCGCTCACCGAAGACTGATCGAAAGCGCTCAAGGAAAGCAATTCCGCACAGAGCCGAGCCCAGCTCGAGGTCCTTTTCTCAGTGCACACTTTTTTTTACTCTTCTCCTAGCTGCCTGTCTTATGTACTGTCTTGCAGGAATATCAAGTGTGCCAAAAATACACGGACAAATGTTACATGCGCTTATTTAAACGAATGTCGTTTTATTTTTCTTGCCCTTTCCTTATGTATGCTGGATGTGTGTGGCCTCATATTCCAGTCGTGGGTGTTTGCCCTTTTTTTCCATCGACCTGTTTGATTAAAATGATATCTACATTTTTTTTTTGTTTTTTTACAGGGAACGTTGTCACTCTACGGATTCTGATGAGGTGTCTCCATTCCGTGCTGTTCGGAAAACTGCAAATCGGCCTGTGCGTTGTCCTGATATTGAGTCTAGCCCCATTCAATCGTGCGTTTTTTAAGAATGTCCTTTTCCTTCGTTCTGTTGTTCTCTTGAATTGCCTTTTAACTTAATTTGCTTTGTTCTTCTTTATAGAGAAGGTTCGCCAGTTCGCCCTGATTCGATTAGGCGTCGACGTTTGATCACTCATTCAGGTGTGGTTGGTGGCACTGCTGATTCGACTGTCGCCGTGGATGACAATTATGAGTTGGATGATCCAGTTTCAGAGCATGATGGATCACCGCCCCATGAAGATTTTGTCTCCTCTACGCCTGATGAGCCTGTTCTTGACGCTTTGGATACCCAACCGTCCATTATTGAAGCTCCCGCTCCTGCCAGAGCACAGCGTGTTCGCACACCGTCTCGCAAGGCCATTGAGTCATCAGCACAGGGTTCTGGAAAAACAAAAAATACTCCCAAGTCTTCGCGCAAGGAACGTGCCAAGAAGCAGCTTTTCACCAGCTGAAGGTGTCTTTTGACAGTCGATGGTTGGCCAACTGCTGCTGCTTAAGTTGTGCCTAATTCATGTACTGCTTTTGTTTGCTTGCTTGATGCTGGTTTTTTCGTTTTGTTTTTACCTGGTTTCTGTTATTGTTGCTTTTGTTGTCCTGTACTTTGTCGAAACCTTCGCAATGTATGCTGCCTTAGTCATCTTCCGATTGACCAGGAATTATGGGACCGTTCATTTTGTATCATAAAAGTGCTTGTATATGAATGCTGTGCAGGTTTCTTTTGTTTATTTCAAAAAAACTGTTCGGTTTTCGTGCACCTTATCTTACGTTTATATAGTTCTTTGTCATTTCCCACAGCTAATTCTGTTCTTTGTCACACCCATTTTAAATTATGACCAGGTTCTTTATGCCTCACATTTAATCAGTTAACTACGTTGTGGTTAGTTGTTCTCGCGATACATTTTTTTCCGGTTTGTGTTTTTTTTTATACTTTTGTGCATTGCTTGGTGAGCATCGTTTCTTTTTACCACTGTCAAACCTCTCTTTATTCATCGGGACAAGCTGTACAAAACCTACTTTCGTTTAATTGTGCGGGACTCATCTATCCTATTTTGTTTTATCAAAACGTAAAAGAAACTGTACAGAGAAAGTCGATCATGGTCTGTCTTGTTACCTATGGTCCTATTTGTTTTTGCAACTTGCAGTGATTTTTACTGAAGATGAATGCGCTGCCATTCTATGTTTAAATGACCTTTATGAAGTCTTTGTCTTCTTAATGTTTCTTTCTAATATGCCCTCTTGCATTTAATGCCATGTCTATGATTTGTGTACATGTCATTTCCTTGTGTCAGGTAGTACTTCTCAACTGACATGCTTGATTAAATTATTACTATTATGCTAGATATCTTTTGCTTAAATCTATCCTATTCATCTTCTTCTTCCATTAATGCTCCTAACACTTTATTGCCATTTTTAGCTTCTGGTGCATTTATTAATGGTCTGTTTAGTGAACTGTTGTATCATGGTGTTCTGTACGTGAAATTCATTGTCATATCTCATTTGCTGTCGTTGATTTCTTGCATGGTTAGCTTTGTACAAATGGTGAGCCTTATGCTGCCTGTAATTTATGTTGTACTGCTCTCTATATGCCCGTGTTACTCAGTTCTGTATCATTTACATACATTTATCAATTTGTGCTTGTCTTCCTTAGGCCTCAGCCAGTCAGTGTACAAACCTCATTCCCGGTTACAGTACTGCAGGAAACGACGGCGTGTGCTGTTGTCTGCTGAATCTGTGCCAGGGAACACCGCCTATTAATCCTTCTATAAGGCGTCGAACAACTGGTTTTGACAAGCGTAGTCGATTATTCCCAATGAACAATTCGGCTGCCAGTGTATATCCTCCTCAATCAGACTTTCGTTTTGTTGACTCTCCTCTTGGTTCTCCAAGGTCTCCACTGCTTGTACTTCCCTTCACATGCAAGCATCAACAGAATCAGAGAAGACGCCCACACTCCACCTTCCCAGCAGCATGACTATGTCAGAATTCTTGAACATGGTCTGCCGGATCATGAATGCCAATTCTGTGGTGCTCGGTTCTGGTATGAAGAACGGCTTAATAGGCATCGTTCAACTGCTCCTATTTACACATTATGTTGCCAAAAGGGACGCGTGCGACTGCCTTTTCTTCAGCAACTCCACCTTATCTGGAACAGCTTCTTGGTATCAATGGCGGTCCTATGGCTGTACACTTCAGAGAACATATAAGGTCCTATAATGCAGCCTTTTCCTTTACATCATTTGGTGCTGGCTAGATCCTCGGGCATCACGGACACGAGGACCGTACTCATTTGTTATTTGTGGTGAGAATTACCACCGTATGGGCTCTTTACTACCTGTTGCTGGTCGCAAACCAAAGTATTCGCAGTTGTACGTTTTTGATCCTCAAACCGAGGTTTCGGATCGGCTTGCTAATTTTTCGTCGCAGATTGTTGCTTGCAGCCCGAGATAGTATCAGGATTAATGAAGCTGTTTGATGTCACATGACTTGGTCAGGTCTTTCCGAAGAATTCGAACTCAGTTGTCAGATTCTGCCTCTGCAAATCTCCGTTGAGGATTGTGGGCGCAAGAAACATAGATTCTCGCCAATATGAGCTTCCAACAGGAAATGAGTTAGCAGGTTTGATTCCTGGGGACTTTCTGCCTGACAAGGAAGAACGTGATATTATTATTGATCATAGATCAGAAGGTCTTAAAAGAATAACAAGTCTCAACCCAAAGTTTGATTCATTGCATTTTCCTGTGCTATTCCCATATGGTGAAGATGGGTTCCACGTAAACATACCATATGATGGTGTTCATACTCCACCAACTCTTAAGCGGAAATTTGTTACTCAACGTGAATACTATGCTTTTCGACTACAGCATAGAGATGATGAGGGCCAAACTTTAATGCGCGGTGGGAAAGCTCTGCAACATTATGTGGTCGATGCATTTTCAACTATTGAACAGAATCGCCTTTATTATTTGCGGTCTCATCAGGAGGATCTCCGATCTGAATTATACCATGGTCTTACTGATGCTTTTGATAGAGGTGATGTCACAGGAGATGATATTGGTAATGTTATTCTACCTTCGTCCTATACCGGCAGCCCTAGGTATATGAAGCAGTTGTATTTGGATGCAATGGCTGTTGTTCATCATCATGGCAGTCCGGATCTTTTCATCACCTTTACATGCAATTCTCAGTGGCCTGAAATTACAGAATCATTTCGCCAACTTTGTGGGTCAAGAAGCGAGCTTAAACCAGAAATTGTTGCTAGGGTTTTCCGTATGAAGCTTAATGCTCTGGAAGATGAACTGAATCGCTCACAATTTTTTGGAAAGACTGTTGCAGGTCTGTTCTGCTGTCTTTGCTGTTTTGATGCATTTGGAATTTGTTTTTAGTTATTGTAGATCGAGTTTGATTCTTTTTCTGTTCGAGCTTTCTTTACTTTCTGCAATCTGATTTTCCAGCATGGCGTGTGCCTGATCCATGTGCAGGAATCAAGACAGTTGAGTTCCAGAAAAGGGGCCTGCCTCATGTCCATATATTGTTGTGGTTGGACGACAAAAGTAAACTCAAGACACAAGCTGATATAGATGCAACTGTTAGTGCTGAGTTACCGGATCCAGAACTTGATCCAGTTGGGTATGCTGCTGTTACGAAATACATGCTCCATGGCCCCTGTGGTGACGATAAACCAACAAATGTGTGTATGAAAGACGGCAAGTGTTCGAAGTATTTTCCAAAATTGTTCAATTCAGAGACTACCACAGACCAGTTTGGTTATACAGTGTACAGGCGTCGTGACTCGGGAATCACAGCATCCAAAGGCAGTGTGGAACTAGACAACAGATTTGTCGTTCCATATAATAGGAACCTCCTTGTGCTTTTTCAGGCACACATCAATGTTGAGGTATGTCATCAAGGACGGCTTATTAAGTACCTGTTCAAGTACATAAAAAAGGGCCAGATCGGTCCATTGTAGTTGCAGAAAATACTGTACCACCTGTCGCTGAAGGTTCTGCACCGCTGATATTTCTTCACTTCGACCACAACCAGTGGCTCCTATTGATGAAATTAAGCGCTACCTAGATTGTAGGAGCCTATCTTCGTATGAGGCAGCATGGCGACTTTTTGAATTTCCTATACATGAAAGAACACCTACAGTCCAACGGTTATGTGTCCATCTTGAAGGAAGACATAGTGTTCCTTATAGAAAAAAGCAGAAGCTTTCTCGGATACTGGCACGTGATGCTGTTACAGAGACGACTCTAACACAGTGGTTTGCTCTTAACCAGACAGATCCAGATGCAAGGTGTCTACTCTATGCTCAGACTCCGAATAAGTATATGTGGAACCTTAAGAATAAAATTTGGTCTAAACGGAAGAGAGGCTTCGCAGTAAGCAGGATTGTTTATATTAACCCTGGTTGCGGAGATACTTTTTATCTTAGACAGATTCTTACCAAGGTCCGTGGTGCAGTTAGCTTTGCTGATTTGCGAACAGTGAATGGTTTCCCATGTCGAACATACCAAGCTGCTTGCCAGCGTCTGGGTTTGCTGTCTAACGACGATGAATGGTTGCTTGTTCTTCAAGAAGTAAATCAGTGGGGTATGTGTGGTCTCCTAAGATATCTCTTTGTGTCCATGCTCATGTTCTGTGAAACTTGCTGATCCATTGGCACTCTTTGACCAAACATGGGAGATGCTTTCAGAAGACATTACGTATCGATGTCAGCGTAGTGTGAATTTTAACAATCATCTCTATCCAGCCGGATCTGCCAAAAAATTCTTTATTGTGTGAATTACAGCGTATGTTGGCTTCTTATTCCACAACACTTTCCGCATTTCAACCTCCGTTGCCTACGCTCCAAATCCTACCTGGCAATGAGTGCATGTATTCTGAATTTCACCTGCAGCGTTCTGCTTCTTTGGAATCTGCCTCTCCACTTCCCAATTTATCCTGCCTGAATGAACAACAAACAGCTGCATTCCATTTGGTAGTTGATTCTGTTATCTCGCCTGTACCGGATGCTGGCCATTTCTACTTTCTGTATGGACATGGAGGAACTGGCAAAACTTTCCTCTACAAAGACAATTCTTGCACACCTTAAGAAACTTGGCAAAATTGTCCTTGTGGTCGCTTCTTCCGGTATTGCTGCAACTCTCCTTCCAGATGCATCCACTGCGCATTCTCGGTTTAAGATACCATTGGAATTGATCAAGCTTCTTCATGCAACATAAAGAAAGGTACGCAGCTTGCTCAGTTAATACTCGATGCATCTCTTATTATATGGGATGAAGCACCGATGGTGCATCGCTTATGCGTTTGAAGCAGTCGATCGTGCTTTTTGTGATATCATGAATGTACCTTTTACTGGGATTCATTACCGACCATTTGGAGGGAAAGTCATGCTGTTGGGGGGGCGATTTCCGACAGACACTTCCGATTGTAGCTGATGCTGGGAGAGAGGAAAGTGTTGATGCATCTTTAACTTGCTCTTACTTATGGAGTACCTGTACTGTTCTCCATTAACAGAAAACATGCGCATCACAACTTCTGCTGGAAATGATCCGTTACGTTCAATGGGATGGACTTCGCAACATGGACTCTTGCTGTGGGTAATGGAACAGTACCAGGGAAGTGTTTCCACCAAAATCAGCCGGCTGACTGGATAGAGATTCCAGAACAATTATTGATTTCTGCAACTGAAGCACCTATTCAGACAATGGCTTCTGAAATTTACACTGATTTTGCAGCTCGCTTTCACAGTGCTGCATACTTAACTGAGCGCTCCATAATTACACCGACCAATCGGAATGTGACAGAAATCAATTCCCATATGCTTGCATTGGTTCCAGGTCAAGTGCGTACCTATTTCAGCAGTGACACTTTACACACTGATGCAGTTGATCCATCTTGGCTCGAAGCAGAATACCCCACGGAATTTCTTAACGGTTTATCCTTCAATGGATGTCCTGAACACCAGATTGATTTGAAGGTATTCACACCGATCATGCTGCTTAGAAACTTGAATCCAGAAATAGGATTATGCAATGGAACCCGTCTTATGGTCGTTTATCTAGGTCATTATGTGATCAAAGGAGTTATTATGGGTGGGACATTCAACGGCAAGACTGTTGCAATACCAAGAATTGTTCTGAATATCAATGACCGACGTTGGCCATTTGTTCTTATGCGGCGACAATTCCCTGTCAGACTTTGCTATGCCATGACGATAAACAAGAGCCAAGGCCAGACGCTAATTAGTGTTGGTGTGTATCTTCCAAAACCTGTTTTCAGTCATGGGCAATTATATGTGGCTGTATCACGTGTCAGATCAGCTAATGGCCTGCGATTCCTTATTGTGAACGAAGATGACATTCCAGGCAATTATACTCGCAATATCGTTTACGAAGAAGCATTTGCAGATCTACAACTTACTGGAGATTTTGACCTTAACTTTCCTTAGAGGTCTGTTATAGAGACAACACAATTATTTGCTGTCGATGAATCAACAGAGTTATGTTTGGTATAACTAATTTGGTATCTTACGATGCAGGCCTCGCCAACCTGCTAATGCTGCCTTTGTTCTGACCTGAAATATTGTGCCCTTTATGCGGTAATTAGACTCTTACACATGATTATAGAAGTTTTGTCCATTCTGATACTTGACCATTTATTGATTTAGTTTTTTTTCCCTCCTCAGGAAAGACTATTATTCTTCTGCAGTATCCATGATGTTTGTTGATGTGTCTGCTTTTGCCCAGCTCTTTCCAAGACAATTAATTCCTTTGTTGCCAGATCTTTTGTACGCAAAAAACGATGTTCTCATGATGCATTTGGAATGATATACTCAACTTATCAACTTGACCTGGTATCGAACTTCTGTTCCGTCGAACAATGTACTCCCGCTTATTGGCTTAGTATTGTACCTAAACTTTTATTCTCTGCAAAAAAAAACAAACAAATAAACTTGCCTCAGGATATCTTGTGTTCGTCTACAAAATTATAAACCAACTAGCCATTAAAGATCCATTTATATATATTTGCCTACTTGCTAACGAACCTAAATTTGACTATTCTCAAAACAACTATTACGGTCCACTTTGCTTCCGCAGCATGCTTGGCCCATTGTTTTGCTGCTCAGCCCAATTGCTAAAACCCTATTCTGTCTATTTCTTCCTCATATAAATCATCGCTTCACCATGATCTTTCCACACCTTCTGCCATTTCGATATTTATTACCAGCTGTGGTAAGCCATGTCAGATGATTACACGTACGCATGGGCACCCAGAGGTTTCTTTCTAAATTCCTCTCTGTGCCTTTGGAATTATTACCTGCATCGTGAATTTGTATCTATTCTGAATTGTTATGATTTGGGTCTTACCTAGATCTACCTGCCGCGCCTTTGACGATTAAATCGCTCCGCCTTGGACATAATGAAGGACCCATAGTCCTCCGCCTGCTCAATCGATGGGAGGAAGTGGATGCTTCATCACAGGCGATGATTATCCATATGCTGTTCATCGATAGAAATGTGCGCTCTGTTATGCATTCCACTCATTGCGTGTGTCGTTGTATTAACATTTCCTTGCCTCTTTTTTCTCAGCGTGATCTGATCGAGGGTTTTGTGGGTACTGACCGACCAAATTGTACAGTAGCATCTTTACCGATCGACCAGATCTATCTACTGCCATGGGTCAGGGCAGTTGGAAAACGGCCGACTAATCGAACATCTGACTGTTTGTTTCGGCTTCAGATTCAAACTGAAACAGTTCTTAACGAACTGCACGAGATACCACCGTGTCAGTGGTTTCCGAAGATAGGATTCAATGCCACGCCATTCTCGCAATTATCACAGTTTGTGGATTCAGTGATCGAGTATAGAGGTAATTAACCTATTCCACTCATTGTACTTTTACATGTTACTAAGACCCCTATTTAATTTCATATAGATGTTGTTGGTCGGCTGGTGAGCATATCAGACTACGAAGACAATGGAGGAATGCGTAAAACTAGATCTGCTGTTTTACAGGATCAAACGTACGTATTCTCTGTTGTTGATTTCTTGCCTCGCCTGCTATAAACCATTGCCTAACTGATGCTTGGATATATGTTTTTTTTCATAGTGGCCAATGTGTTTTGGTTAGGTATGCTTTCCCACATATGACTTTAGCAAAACCATTTATAGCAAACTTAGAACGCCAGGGACCAGTTGTGTATGCAATTACAGCACTACATGTCAGCCAGTTGAGTGGTACATTTTCTACCCGAGGTTTGGTTTTCTTGCTCTCATCTGTGATGCTCTTATTGCTAACTCTTATTCATTCCTAACAGGAAACGGTCAGTTATGCTTAGTTACCACAAAGGCATCCAGAATCATCGTAGCCTACTACACAAAGCCTTTTAAACAAATAAAAGATAGGTGAAGTATCATATGCTCTTTTTGCCAATGATTGTACATGTATCGGCAAAAACTTACACACTATTTTGTTCCAGCTTCTCGCATGTGCATCGTCCTGTTCAACTAGGACATAATCCAGTTCCAATTCCAAAATTTGTACGACCCAACATGCCAGTGAAAACAACAATTCTGCAGCTGTTCGCCACACTGGAGGACTTATCAAGGCCATATGATGTATGTTTCGTGCCACTTTTTATAATTTTCTTAACGCTTGATGCACAATACTGATATTCTCATGTTCACTTCTGCAACAAGATATCTGTCTGGTGCTTGATTAGGATTAGACGCATCAACAGGAACCAAAGATTGTATCATTGTGACTCTGATGAGGATGACCCTTATTCAACAACTTATTCATATAGGTACATTTAAAGAACAATATTGTGACTATACGATGTTTTTTTTTATAAATTTTATCCTTATGTGTTTTCCTTGGATTTAGCTTTAGGGTCTCTTGCGAAGATATCTCATGTCAGGGCACAACAAAAACATATGATCTCCTCTTTAGCCATTATGCAGGGACTGCCCTTTTGCAAAACACCGCTGAAGCTCTTGCCAATATGACAGAGGATATGGTGAATGAAATTTTGGATCCTCTTGAAGGAAAGCTTTTCGCTGTGGAGATTGTTCCGTATTATGAGGCAGATTACTTCACCAATGTACTTAACGTCGTCACTATATGGGATCCATTAGCATATGCGATCATGAGTTAGTTTCCAACACCTTTTGTAGGTGGTAGATCTACGTTTCTTTTTGGTCTTGAAAACTCAAACAGACCGTTTATTAGTATTATTGTGTGATTTTCCTTATTTTTGCGTGCATGGAGAAAGGTTCCTCGTGTTTTTAGTGTGCGGACGAAAGTGGTCAAACAATCGAGTTCCAAAAAAAATTATATTCTGCATACATGGATTGTGAAAAAGTATTTACGATTGGTGATTTACACTGTGAACTTTGGACATGGAGAAAAAACACATATGGGCCCATATTAAGCACGCACATTAGTTAGTTTTGGTCAGCTGCACGAAATGGACCAAGCCACACTCCTTAAACAACCAATTGGCCTGGCCCAATAGATCTATTTGGTCCTTCCCTTTAGGGTTTCCTCCTCATCGTCATGCTTATCGCTCAAAGGAACAACTGACGCAACAACCAGCAGCTTCGATGATGAATCGAACACAAGATATCAACCGCTTACGCCATGGATA